TTTAAATTAGGTGTTGGACATGAAATTTAACAAACTTTATTTCGTAAATTTTCGAAACTGGTTCCCCAGGTCGTTGTCAGACGTGTGGAAAGCGTGGAAAACAGTTAAAATTCAAACATGCCCGGAAAATCGGCATTGCCTTTTCAGTGCTGAGGAGGGGTCAGTGCTGTAGGCTGGTGTCACGTTTTGATTGGCTATCAAGTTTTGCATTTTTCATTGAGATTTGTGTACATGACGTTAAGATCGATGCGTCGATTGATGCAAAATTCATCGGAGTGAATGGTCTCTAGAAATTATCGGCCTTTTTTATATGGGCAGGAACTGACAATGCATGTTTTATCCCAAGCAAATTTGTGTCCAGTTTCAAGAGTGTGCATGGTGACTTGGGATAAGTGGTCCCGCTCCTTTACGGCCAATTGGTGTTCACTTAAGCGTATGGAGACGGATTTTCCGGTTTGACCACAATATACCGCATTACAAGTGCCATATGGAATCTTATAGACTACTTCTTTTTTATTCAAATAACCAATCCTATCCTTATGGTGTACGAGCTGATTGCGTAGCGTAGTCGTCGGTTCGTGGGCTACTTGTATTTGGTGCTTCCTCGGGTGTCTTTCAACGAGTTCAGACACATTTTTAATCTAAGGAAGTTTTCGCCAATGCTTTGATTTTGGCTTTGGCGCCTGGTCGGAACGATCTAGCTCCTTATCCCTTTCCATTGATTCCTGCTGTTTCATGCTTGGGCGTGCAAAATCTCTAGAGTAGCCGTTTTGGAAAAATAGGTTGAACAAGTAACTGGGTTCTATTTTGTACGCTTCGTTCTCAAAGCAGTGTGTATTTGCTCGATTAAGTAGGGTGTTAACAGCACTCCGTTTGTGAGCGATGGTGGTGGGTAGAATGACTTTCGCATAAGCTTCTTTTTGTGGTATACTGATGTATGGAATGTCCCGCCAGTTTTTCGCTGTACGCGGACATCAAGAAATGGGAGTTTGCTGTCAACTTCTTTTTCAAGCGTGAAGATGATTCCCGGTAGTGTTGAGTTGATAACTTTATGCAGCGTTTTCGGCTGATCCCTCTTGACAATTACAAAGGTGTAATTTATGTGGCATATCCATAATTTGGGATTGAATAATGGTAAGGCCATAGCCTCTAATTTTTGCACTGTGAATTCGGCCAAAAAGCCTGAAATAGGTGACCCCATAGGAGCTCCTTTCAGCTGTCGATAATATTCATGTGCAAACGAAAAGTTCGTTTCCAGACATAGGTCCAAGAGTTCAAGCAAAGTAGATGCAGGAACATCGATGTCGTAGGATTGCAGGAGTTTTCATGTTCACTGCCTTGCTAAATCGAGTGTTATGAACGTGAATAGAGAGACAACATCCAACGATACCATTATCTCATCCGTATCAATGGTGAGTACTTGTATTTTGTCTAGAAATTTAACAGAATTATCGATTGAAGTCTCACATTGTTAATGGAGGGTGGTTGTGGACTAGCCATTTAGAAATCCTGTAATTCGGTGCACCGATTAATGATACTATCGGTCGCAATGGTACGTCGGGTTTGTGAACTTTCGGTAGTCAATATATACTCACTCTGTCGAAAGTTGCATGTCGAACTCCAACCTACCCCACTTTTCTGGCCATTGCTGAAATTTCATCTCTTCTTGACCATTCTCTTTGCAGATCAACAATGCAGGATGTATGGTCAACGAGCGCAGCTTAAACGGCGATGGTTTGGAGGTCAACTTTGCCACCAATACTCTGGGCACTTTTATTATGACAACATCACTCCTACCGTTACTGAAGAAATCATCCGATGTGAGTTGTTATCTGTTAGTTCATTTTCGCATCAGCCATCAGAACTCTTTTAAGTACAGTGCCTTCAGTTTTTTTTTTCGACAAGTGTTTACCTTTGGAGTCTGTCAGAATATAGCATTCGCTCGTTGATTTTTTGCCGATAAGCCCCATGTTTTCTCACGAAATCCTCATGCAAATTTTCAGATTAAGCACAACAAACTACCCATAAGGCGACACGCGGTTAGGTATTCAAGACTGTCAACAAACGGTATCAGGAATCTTGTAAACAGTACATTGGAAAACAACTTCATTACCTCCCACCTAGGTCTGAGACGTTTGAACGTTCCTTTATACACAAAGCTTACCTACAAACCTCTCCGACAGATTATGTGGGGACCTTTGCGTTTGGTACGCACAAGCTGGGAATTCCAAGGCGGAGTTTCCTGAATTGTTCTGTCAAAAAGCCTAGTGCCATTTTTCATTTGAAGTTTTTTTCGTTACAAAAACGCACAATTTGGTTATCCCAGCCCGGTGTTTTAGCCGTTGCCAATGTCCGTCAGTCGCCACGGACTGACAAGACAAGTGAGAATCCGGATTACGTGCGGAATTTGAAGTCTACTCAAACTTCAGGTGAATAAGAGAGCAGCATACTTGAGCTCAGCATTTTGGTAGCACTGTGTCAACGCAAAAATACCCCTCGTTTTTTGAGAAAGCATACGAGCAGTGCACCATTACGAAGCACAGTTATTCTGTGTTCTAACTGTCAACGGAATGCATGGAAGACACTTTTAGTCAGTACTTAAAGGATCCTTGAATTTTCGTCAGAAATTATTGATCGAAGGTGGAATATAAAATAATTGGGGCTGGATTGTTGCCATTAGGCGCGGCTTTTTTGCTACTATGACTTGCGAGAGGGCAAGTCTCAGTAAGCCACGGAGAGGGAGTGGGCCCGATCGTTAAAAGTTGTTTTAGTTGCCCGATGTCTGGGATGCATGCCTGCCAGGCGCACAAGGCTCCTGCTCAAGCAATCGAGTTTCCTTCCTAGCTGCGTATCTTCCGCCCCTGGAAGCCCAGAAGGCAGTATTTTGCTCCGAACATACCGAAACTTCCCTTTCCCCGTTTCCCCAACAGGGCTGCTACTATGATGCTGGGAGATACCCTGAAAAATGAAAACTGGTCACTGGGAGAAACAGCCTTCAGCGAAGTTTGGCTGAGAAGTAGGTTATCTGTCGGGCTTGACGAGTTCGCATTGATCGGCTCGGATGAGAACTCGATCAATCGATTTATCGATCTGACGCTGGCGTAAAGAGCCCTGCGCAGTCATCTTCAGTGATCGGCTATATAGCGGTAATATCTGTAGCCATGACTGGCTACTGATATGGTAAATTGGATATTTATGAAGAAGTCACAGACCATAACAGTTTGAGCCTCGCAAACGATGACGTCTGCCGCGTGTCCCATGGGGTGGGGACGTAACGCCGGTGAATTGCGCGTGATTTAGTTTGTAGCGGGGCAGGCTTCGCAGTATCTACCGCCATCACACTCTCCTCAGCCACCAAGGCAAGACAGAGTCAGGACGGCCGGAGGCGGGCGCTGGCGCAGTGGCGGGCAGAGCTAAACGGTTCGTCTACGCGAACCATACACCCGACCCGGTCCCCCCAACGTGAGAGGCTGTGGCCAGGGTGGCCCGGCGTTCACATGGCTGAAAATGTCATGAAAACTGTATTAAGATGGGGCCATTGCAGCCTGTCATTGAATCCTGGGAATGACAGGACTATCCCGTCAGTTGTCAGCCTTCTAAGCCTCGAATCTTATAGCGAGGTCTGAGAGGATTTGCCGTGGGGATGGATTTCCCTGCACCGATCTTTGTTTCGCCTTTCTATCCCAGAGACTGTCTTTGTCGGCTCTATCTTGCCTACCTATGGTACTAGTCGCTATGCGACTGCCTGCGAGAGTCTCAAGGCATGAAAGGCCGAGCACGTCTCGGCAAGCCGATCGGTGAGCGCCCATCTACCGTGTTCAGTATACCTGGTCACAACCACCGGGACAACTACCCCGTGACCCTATGGTTGGAGCGTTGGACTGACTAACGCTCAGTACTCAAAAGAACCTCGGTTAAAACCCCAGAAGCCTTCAAACCTGCGGTTGGGCAAGGCTGGTTAATGACGGCTAACAAGCCAAAAAGGATTGAAATTGACGAAATTAACGAATTACTCACAAACCGGCGCAAACGAATGGTAAAATAACTCCGATTTAACCATAGACGATCTAAAGCGAATTAAAAACATCAAAAAAACACATTGGAAGTAGTATTGCATTGCTTGGGAATACCCCTTTTTTGCAGAAAATCGGAGATCCAAATACATCAGAAGTAGTTATTGCTGAATTAATTCAAGTGTTAGGTGCACAGAAAGCCGATCCATGAAAAATACTGAGTAAATAAAATACCACTAGTAGAATGACGTTTGACAATTGTCCTTTAATAAAGTTTGCAGAACGGCATTACAGACAAGGACGTGAGAGACTGGAATGGCCGTTTTTGGCTTACTAGCTGGGGCAACCGCCATAGGTGCACGTTGATTAAAACAACGCTCTTTGGGGGCTTGTTTGCCTTCATTTAACTGGTAATACTGCTGCTGCTGCTGTTGCTGCTGCGGCATATTCTGAGCATAATTTGCCCGCGAAAGCCCCTGTGTCGGTATGCGCCTATTGCACCGTGAATGCTGCGCAATGCATGCTACCTTGCCCGTCTTCTCTCCTCCCAGCCTCGGGTTATCGTGGTCAGCTCCGGCGGCATGTTGACGCAACGTCTTAACGCCACTGACCCCGCCCTGAACTGCGACCCTATCGCCAACGAGGCCTTCGACGGGACCATGGTCTATGCCCAGAACAAGCGGCAGCAAGTGGTCATGACGGAAATGTGGGCCAAGCAGAACCCCGAGGTCTTCTTCGCTGCCATGCATCCTGGTTGGGCGGACACCCCTGTAAGTGCTAAAGAGCTGTGTCAAAACTAGGTCCTGCTCCCTTGATTCGGTAAGCACTTCATTTTTCTCAGATTTCAAGTCTTTAAACTTTGCTATCTAGGTGGCCACCTGTGATTTTCGGAGGTCAGCGTCCGACCTCAGAGAGAGAGAGACAGAGTTTGACCCCCCGGGTGGCTGTTTCAAAAGAACCGTCAACAACCAGATGGTGCACCTTTTGGGCGAAAATACAGTAGGTGGGCTAACTCATGAAATGCCAACCGAAATTCCCAAATGCGTTTTCGTCTCGAAAAGATTAATTAAGAAGAGTTGTAAAACTAGTCAGCCTGCAACATAATTCCATGATATTTTTGTTACCACAGGATGCCGGCTTTCGAAAGAACTTCCTTCCGACTGCATGCAAAAACTACACTCTGTAAAACTGACTATTTAAGTAACATTAATTTTTCTCATTGATTTTCGATCCCTTAAAAGTCCAGTTATGGAAGACATGCATAAAAATATTCATTCTTTTGCTCATTCAGTAGATAGTTACGTCTTTTTCCAATCTCATACTCGAAGGAGGGACATAATTCGGTTTTAAAAAGTTTCCAATTGTGGGACTTTTAAATACCGTGAAATGGCCGTTCATAAATCGTCATGTCTCTGCAGTTACCAATGTGGCTTGTAGAGTTAACAATATGGCTCGAATCCACTGCTAAATTTTATGAACCCTATATGATCCCCTTTATTACTGTAGAAAAATGTGTGGTTTTCCGTACGCGGAAAACATACTGCTTGCAGTTTGAAAACCCTGAATCCAAATGTGACGGTAGAGTGGGTTCAAAATTATTCGGGAATTGGAAGAGTTTTTTAAAACCGAATTATACCCATCCTTCGAGTACAAAATTGGGAGAAAACATAACTGCCTACCAAATGAGCGAAAGAATGAATATTTTTATCCATGTTTTCTATGAAGTATAATTGGATTCTTATGGCCATCGAAAATCAATGAGAATGCATGCTACTTAAGTAGTCTTTTTTTGCAGAGTATAATTGTTGCATGCGGCCGGAAGGAAGTTCGTTCGAAAGCCGGCATCTTGAGGTAACTGAGATATTATAGAGTTATGTTGCAGGCTAATTAGTTTTACAACCCTGATTAATTAGTCTTTCCGATGCGAAAACGCATTTCGGAATTTCGGTTGACGTTTCATGGGTTAGCCCACTTACTGTATGTCCTGACTGTCTAGACAATGCTGAGTTATACGGACAGTGGTGTGTTCTCAAATAAATGTTCCAAGGAACGCAGGATAAACTTTGGAGAACGGGAGATACAACTGCTGGAGCAAGAATTTTATTCACGAATGTGGACGAAAATTCGAGTTCCAGGTATGTGTGCAAAGGTAAAGAAGAATAATGGTTGAGTACCGGAACAGTCCCGTTATCGTTCTGAGCATTCGAACTCTTGCAGGAGCCCGTCGTCAAAGATAGTGGTAACAACAGAGCGAGCAACAATTATAAGAGAGGTTAGCCAATCATCGATGGAGGCCCAGGACTGGAGGTGACTGCGCAGCACTCTGTATGCCGGCGCCGGATCGATATATCGATTGACAGTGTTCTCATCCGAGGCCCAGGCTTCAATCCATTCTCGGCTTGTTTTGTTTCTAACGTGGACGATTATCTTAGTGGCTGTAAAGTTAAACGCGTGTCCCATTTCATAGGTGTGGGCAGCCGCTTGGGATAATTTCTCACCTCGTCGCACAGCCAGCGATCCGTGCATGCATCCAGTCTTACCTGCGTAAATACAAAAATAGTTTTTCCACTCAATGCGATACACTAACCCAGATTTCTCCTTTAGATTCAACCGGTCTTTAATTTTCATGATCTTGTCGCACATGGTAGCTTTGGGCTGGTGTACACCCAGCCGCAGTAGTGCACTCAGTCGCCTCTTAAACGCACTTAATGTATGGCAGGGAATGCCATATCCTTGGTGGTGTTGCTGTTTGGGTCCTGTTAGGGTGAGCGCATGAACTGGTCACGGAGATAGCGGGCCTCACGTGCTCTTTCTTTCGGTTTGTTGCAATGAGTCTGAGTCCGTTTGACGGGCCCCTTTGACCGATGATTGGCTAGCACCCCGTTATTGTTGCACGTTCTGTTATTGCTCTCATCTCTGACGATGGACTTCTACACGAGTTCGAAAGCTCAGGGCAATAAACGAAATGTTCCGGCGCTCGACCCGTCTTCTTCTTTACCTAAGAATTTTATTCTTCCGACATTCCACCATCCTCAGGGGCAGCATCAGCCTGAGGATGGACTTTATTGAACCAGAGTGCACAACCGGCCGGTAGCCGGAGCACGTGGCTGACTGAACCCCTGTCAACTGTAAGTGGTCTGGGCAGCCCAGTCATGTGTCAAGGTCACCGTATCCGGTCTGGCCGTAACGGACTGTGCTGTTTTTCAGTCTTGAACAGCACTGACAGTTGGACAATAAACCCCACACTTTAGACCGTCTGCCCTTCGCCTGTCTCTCATTCTCTCTCTTGGACCTTTTGGTGATAGTAAGACTTATGAGTTTACGCACTCTGCGCAAGTTCTTCTCTTCCCTCTCCACTGACAGCTTTCGCCGCCTCTTTTCCTCTCTCGTTCTGCCCACTTTGTCAGGCTGTTGCCACCTCGATGCCGAGTTTTCATCAACGCATGCAAGGCCGTCTTCGCACACCGGAGCAGGGTGCTGACACCGCTGTTTGGCTCGCCATGACGCCTCGTCTGAGGGAGTTTGAGAATGGAACCTTCTTCCTAGGTAGGCATCCTACGCACATGCACATTACTCTCCCTCCCTCCTTCCCTCCAAGGGTCAGACTGCAATGGCCACTCCCCAATGTGTCCTTTATGTTTTTCCCACTGATATGAGATCTCAGTCACCCTCATTGTGGCCTGATGTGTGCAGGGGGGACGAGGTCGTGTGTGTGGCACGCGCAGACGGGATGTTTAACTCTGTCAGCCGTGGTGTCCGCGCTCACCTCCGGCCGTCTTGCCACTGGCTTGTCATCGGAGCCTGGGTGGGTGGGGGGGAGAGAGAGGCAAACGCTTCGAAAGTCTCGAAGAGGGAGATACGATCGCTGGGACAAGAGCTTTATTGGCCTGCCGTTTCAGATTCCTGCTCGAACCCATCATCAGAGACGAAAGCAGATACGGGTGGTTCATGCACAAGGGGCTGCAGTATTTATAGGATGCGGTCGCCATACTACCGCATACCCATGAATGTTCACGGCTCCTCCCTTCATCAGGGATCGTTACACGTGGTGTGATGACCGTTTGATGGCCGACATTTGCGTCGTTAATTGCTGCAATTTCATCACGTCCGTTGGGTGTTGGTGTGATGATTGCTCCACCATCTGACGCACCGACCCTAGTGTCGGGAAAAGTGTTCGCCTGTGCGCTCCCTGCGTGGCCAATTACTCTGCCTAGGCGAAGTCTCAGCACCGAGTATAGAAGGAGAAGATCAATGCACTTGTTAATGGACTGGGGGCCAGTAAACAATGACTCAAACAGCTCGCGGATCACGCGGTTGTCACCTCTTGCGAGAATTTCGGCCTCGTCAAATTTGAATTTGTGGCCGGATCTCGTTGAATAAGCCTCAACTAGAGAGCTGGCGTCATTTCTCCGCACCGCTGCAGCGTGCTCGGCCATTCGCGTTGCGGCTCATTCTACTTCTACTCCCTGTCTTAACCGTCAGAACTGTTGGCTAATTGGTGACTGACCTGCGAGTCCGACACTGAAGCTCGGGTTGTCTGAGACTGAGGCGCGGTCGGCTGATAACGACTCGAAAGCATGAATCGGCCGTTCCGATCCCTGTTCCAGCTACCGGCAGAGCGCGTATTTTTCAGACTTGCGCCAGCCGTTGTATTTATCCACCCCCTACTCTATCTGTTTCAGATCGCCAACCCGCACCGAAACACTTAACTCTCGCCAGAACACACAGCACTTTGGAGGAACAGGAGAAATTTATGCAGGCTATGCACCAGCTAGCGGAGCCCTTCATGAAACATTGATTTGACCAAGTTGAAGTCTTTTTTTCGGGTCTTTTCGATCTGTCTTTTTCTGAACAAATGCCGCTTTAGGCATGCGAATCTATCTACCTCAGGACATTTGAAGCTGAATCCTTGTGCTACCTTGCTCTCGGCTGGTCCTTCTGCTGCAATCCAGGCTTATGCTTGATTTTCTTATTTACTCGTGTAAATTTTCGTGAATAAGCGTTTGTATCTGTTTTATTCCTGTTGTTTTTACCGCTAACCTTGGTTCGTATGCACGGAAGACCACATGAAGTTCCGCCATTATTGCGCCCTGCGTGGGTGAGCCGCTCCTGTCAGTTCATAATTGAGTGCGTCGGCAGTCTGTCCTGTTGCCCATTTGAGTCCTTTCTATGGACGCCTGATACAAAGTCGCCATCATTCATTCTTTGTATACCTGCAGTGGTTATGCGTGAGAATGTGTGCGTCTGAGCGCCACCATAATCAGGGCGAATCTCAAGTCGTAAGGAGAAGATAGAAGGCACCAGAATGAGGAGTTTGTTGTGCACAGAGCCCGGAGTTGTCCTCTCAGACGGCAGTGGCCACTGGCGAAGCTAGGGCGGGTGTTGACTGCGTCCAGTCATGCCTGAGAGTCCCTGGGACAGTGGTGGCAGCCACTTTTGTAGGCTCGTGGGCCAAGCTCAAGTGGTGTCCTGTCGGTGTGTGTTGCGTTTGCCGAGGGGTGGTGTCCCAGTGGATTAGGCTGTAGTTGCAGGGGGGAGGTGCATTCAAGTGGCCGCATGGGCAGCTGCGGCTGTGCGGACGCTGGTGCGCTCGAGCTGTCGGCCAGACCGGTCATGATGGCTGGCCGCTATATACCTACATCTTGATACGGTGGGTTGTCTTACGCTGCCTCTTCACGAACGCATTTTTTGTCTTGGAACACTTGATTTGGAAGACACACTTCAACTTCCGTTTCAGTTGTAAAACTTTGTAGTTCCTGATGCCAACGAAAATGTCATCTAGTTTGGCTTGGGATTTCGAATAACCCCCCCTTCCAGTCGGTGTAAGGGTATTTCTTAAAGTAGCCCCTATGTTGGCGAGTTCTATTGTTGTACTTTTGACCAGTTAGCAATAATTTTGAAGGTTTGTCTAAGTTCAGAAATATTTCCATGTTACAATTGAAAAGTCTATTTGGCAAACACGCATTTTCGGTAACTCGTCATCAGGCCAAAACAGTTACATAGAAGTTGAAATTATGCGAAGTTAGAGGGCTTATAGGTGATTCAGGGGGCCATTAAGAATTCCTTGTCAAGGGGAGGCAGCAGGTGACCTAGTAAGAAGACGTCTGAAGACGGCGATCACTAGCGCTTTCCCTCGGCGAACTTACATGTATGTTTCACGAACTCTTCCCCCCTACGCTTGGGAGGTAAAGACCGACTCCCGTTGCAGGCCACATCAATGGGTATTTACTCATTCCCTTGCCCCTGTGGAGCGGGATACATCGGCCGCATAACGAGACGCCTGGTAAAGAGGGTGCGTGAATATATGCCCGCCTGGTTAGACAGAGATGAGACACGGTCGATTTCGAGTTCTATTCTCGCACATTTAATCGATACGAATCACCGAGTCGGTGTCAAAGAAGCCTTTCGGTTAGTCTACCGGACACCAACAAGCTTCTCCAGAGGCCTACGCCAACGGGTGCTAGCTACAGCTGAGGCAGTGGCTATACGGCTAGCCAATCCAGTGCTAGGTTGTCAGAAGACTCTGACACAGGCGCTGTGTTTTATGTGGCCAACGTCGCACCAACCTCCTGATGGCAGTGGTGTGTGCACAACGTACCCGACGTACAAACATTACTCACAGCCTATGTCACCCCTTCCCCCCGCCTCCTTGACCCAATTACCCGGACACGCCGACCACACCATAGCACGCCTCGTCATGCGAGTGGCGTGGGATCGATGAGTGTTAATAGCTCCTGAATCAATTATAAGCCCTGTAACTTCGCATAATTTCAACTTCTATGTAGCTGTTTTGGCTTGATGACGAGTTACCGAAAATACCTTTTTGACAAAATGACTTTTAATTATGAAGGAATTTACAGTAGTTCGTTAGTCAGCGGCTAAGCATTTCTCAAATGTTTTAAGATAGTCGGAGAGACTGAAAAAATCGGCCATATATGCCAGGCAAGCGATAAATACTCTAGGTGACCTAAGCCGTAAAATATACCTAAACTAGTAAAATGTCTGTTTAACCAGACACCAGACCGAATGCATTGAAGACCGCCAATTAGATGGAAACTTAATTCAGTTCGGTTCAGCTTAGACGCCCTATTTGTATAATCTATGCATTATGTTACTAAAACGGTAACGTGTCATGCGGTGACAAACGACAAGCATGTGTCAGTGGGTACGCCGTATTGTCCTTTGATTCCCCGCTGTTTTACTTCGCTACCCATTGCTCTTCCCTATGTATACAAATGGTGTGTTCACAGTAATTTCGAGTAAATGCCTCCTACTTGCGAACAAAAAAATTTGGTGTGACAGAGAACCCCAATTCAATCCATGAAGGCTTGACTCCAGTCAGCACTTGGATCATCTAATAGGATCCTGCGATGTAAATGATGCCACTTTCTTTTAAATGATACAGGTTCAGGTTTAGAATTTGGCCTGTCCACTACCACGCGACATAAGAGCATTGGACAGTTAAACAGTTCAGCAGATTTTGGGTTAAAATCACCGCCAGACAAGCTCCGATGAAACAGTTTTTCGGTCCGACGTCTTTGAGGGTGTTTAAAAAATCTACTCTCGCAAAACCTAATTTCTCCGAAGTACTTATGTTAGCTCATTTCCTGAATGCTGCTAATAGGCACTGTTCTTATACCTTCGTCGGGACAGGGTTCTAGAAGTGGTGTGAATCCAAAAACAAGGCCTGTTTGTTCACATTATAATCTGCCAGACACCATGTTGATTGAAAAACTCGACCCTTCCACCACGGCATAGATGTAGGGCTCGAAAACATCGAGGGTAACACACACATACGGTTGAATGAATCACCTAATATAGCTTCCCGGTAATGTGATGTAGCACAAAATCTTTAAGCTCCACATCAGGCACCGATGCATTGATATAGTAAGAAAATTGGCTTACACTGTATGAAATCCATGTCACGGCAAATAAATGGGTAAAATAACGAAAGTGGCATACCACGAATACAAGTGAATAATAAGGTACTGTATAAAACGATCCACTTGGAGTGGAAGGTGCTTGCATCATATCAGCTAGATACTGGTGGGGATTGAAGCGCTGTCGGCAATTGTGGGTAAGGGCGGCAGATTGCGCTGGCAATGGAAGACACGGGCGGCGGACGAAAAGCAAGAGCAGGAGGGACGATGTTAGTGGTAAGGGGGAGGGGATCACACCAGCCCCTCTGGGATCCGTGCCAAAACTAACCTTAGGTTATTCAAACAACTCTGCCGAATTTGCGTTGCGTTACACAGAAAAGCGTGCAGCCAGATCTTGTTAAAACTTACCATTTACTAATGAATTCGAGAGTAAATCCTCAACGACGCGCGATCCAGTTTACCTATCCTCGTCTCCTTTTGCTACGCGGTAACACTACAGTGACAATCCAACTCCGACTCGCTCTCTAGATCTTTACCTAGAGCCTGAGCAGTCTTGGAAGGCAATGCTGTTACTCCACTTCTTCACAAGGCTAACTCATCTGGAAAGTGTCCTAACCATTCCGTTTATGCAAGAGGACACGATAAGCCTTCGTGCAGTACATTGCAACAGGGTAATGATTGTAAGAGCTCCACTGCCGGAGCAAGTACGTCACATGAAAATCCATGCCCTATATCCCCTTCGCCGGCCGAAAATCATTCAAAGGTCGAAGTGACAACAGCCGTCGGGAATACTACAATGGCATTATATCGTCCTAGCGCGGACGGGACAGTAATGAGCTCTTCCATAAATCGTAAGCAAAATATTGTCATAAGGGGCGCCCCAGAGTCCACGTCCTGCATTCCGAAGGAACGAGTGACGCACGACCTAGACCTTCTTCATCAGTACGCCAGTGCCGTCCTGCAGGATGGGGAAATATTCACCGTTAAAAAGCTTTCCGACTACGCAGAGCGGACCCAAATCGTGACCTAAAAACATCCCCAAGACCCCTGAAAGTTATTTTGGAAAACGAAGCCCAAGCAGCGCTTTTGTTAGAAAGTAGAACGACCTTACGCAATTCGCACAAGGAAGTGTTTTTTCAACCAGACTACGAACCGAGGGAAAGACTGAAAATGAGAGAACTGAGATCAGAATTGAAGGCGAGAATGGGCAGAGGAGAGAAAGGGCTGAAAATCAAAAATGGACAAATAGTCCAAACAAAGGTGTCTTTCCTGTGGCCAGAACCCGTCACAATGAAGGCCGGGCCTCTCCAACAAATCAGTCATTGAAGGTTATATCCGCAAATGTGCAAAGCCTCTTCAACAAACTAGATGAACTAAGAGACTTAGTTGAGGAAATTAAGCCAGACAGTATGGCATTCACAGAAACGTGGCTTACTGAAGATATCGCAGATTCAGAAATATCACTTAGAGGATATCGGCAATTCAGGAGAGTTAGACTAAGCCGAGGAGGAGGAGTCATAATCTATGTTACTTGCAAGCTAAGCGCTATGGCTGATGTACACAGACCAGTACGGGATGTGGAACTGCTAAGCGTTACCATACCTACTAAGAATGTCCGATCATTGACGCTTTCGGTGGTGTACCGTTCACCTAGCCATACTTCTGACCAAGATCTCATGCTCATATACTAACTGTACCAAGCTAGCGAGAAGAAAGACGTCCTTATCGTTGGGGATTTTAACGCTCCTGGCATTGATTGGCTAACGTTGACTGCACAAGGGCCGCAAGACAGCTTTAATCACAAACTACTACAATGGGCAACGGACAAGCTTCTCTGCCAGAATGTTACCTTTCGAACACGGGTTAGGGAAGGGCAGCAGTCGAACTGCCTTGATCTTATTTTTACCCGAGAGGAGGA